TTTGTCTGTTGGTTTATTTAGAAATGTCGGAATGATTTCGTTTTTCAGCGAAAACATTGGGATCCTTTTGATGTGGCACAATATGTTTTTACTGCCTTTCAGGAAGTTACCAGTCAAAATATTCTTCTGTTGTTGTCGGTTCCTACTGTTTCGGTCCCGCATCAAAAATCAGTGTTTTAAACTGATTTTTGATGCGGCTTTTAATTCATCTCGTCATTTTTGTGGGGGTGGGGTGATTCTTCGGGACCACCTTGGTCAGCCTATTAAAGTTGCTTCTTTTTTCATGATGAATATGTCTTCTCCTTCGTTGGCTGAATATCTGGTTTTGAGGGCCTCTCTCTTACTTTTGCATCGTTGAGGTTACAAGAATGTGGTGGTTGAATAAGATTGTAAAACTGTTATGCAGTTACAAGAATCAGTGGAGTTAGGTGATGATTTTTCATGATATTTGTCCTTTGCTTTCCTTTTGTTTTGGTTCATCTCTTATTTGGGTTCCTCGTGAAGGAAATGGTGTAGCTCATCTTTTGAGCAAGAAGGCTCTTGAAACCGAGTGTGGTGATTTGGAGTACAGTTTATGGCCCCCGTGGTTGTTAAATGCTCTTCTCCCTTCATGTTCATTTTCTTCTTCTATGGTCTAATCTATTTGTTGTCAAAAATAAAATATAAAACAAAACAAAATTTAAATCCTAAGATGCCAACCTAATGAATCATACGAGTAAGGCTTATATATCATAATAAAACTTACTGAAGGATTGGAAGCTATACCTTATTATTTTGACTTTGACATCTACCATCCTCAAACCTCCTCTACTTGCAAAAGCTTGGACGATAGGTGACTGTATTAAATCCTACATACGTTTTACGTTTTCTTTTGGGTAATAAACCTTGAACGCAGTAAACTCCTTTTCGGTTGGATGACAACTGAAGACATCTTCTGGGGTGAGCTAGTAAAGTAATTGGGTTGGAATTGACCATGGAGTAAATCAATTGTACATGAACGAGCATTAAATATTTATTTTCTTGCTAAGTCCGGAGGTAAACTATGTGAGATATTATTTTGTAATTGGCAATTATTGGAAACAAAATAAGTCCCTGTTGAGTTGTAATTCGAAGTTACTATATCAGGATCGATAGCGACTGCGGAATGGAAAGGTTGTTCCAAGTTACCATAACTGAGATTACTCGAGAAAGATAAAAACAACACATTGGGAAGGAATTTTAAAAGGTTAGGACACATTCTACACTTGGTATTTATTTCAAAATCTTACTATACAATGTTTTCAGCCTTAGTAAACCAGGAAGTTCAAGTCTAGCATACTTGAACCGGTTCAAAGTCTTCAGTTGGCCTCGAAATAAACTTATGTTATACTTGAACCAGTTCAGCCCCTCTGAACCGGTTCAAGGAATCATGTTCACAGTACAGTTTCTGTTTCCTTTCCTGATTTGTTTTCAAGTTGTTCTACAATTGTACCAAGTCCTATGCACGTTTTTTTCCATATTTTCAGAGGGACTAGGACATTCTAAACTCTATACAAACCTTATCATACAAATAGGTTTATTTACAGCTTTTGCATTATCAGTTTATTATTTTTAAAAGCCTTAGGAAGATTTTTGTCTCAGAAAATCTTAGAGATTTTTCCGTTTGTCTTTCTAGAAAACACATATATTCACATAGTGATTTTAGAATTGTGTTGTTCAAATCCTGATCGTAATCATACAGTTGCATCTAAATCGATCAGACAAAAGCATATCTACTTCTACATCAAATCCAGAAGTTGAAGAACAGAAGTAAAAAGCGATTTCACTTTAAAAGGGTTGAAGCATTCGAGGAGTGTTGTCTGATCTACCTACTACTTTTCTACAAAGATCAAGCATAAGCCTGAGGTCAAGTTGATGTTGGACAGGAAGTCGTAAAACTAAAGGATTGTCAGCAATTGGTGTTTGGTGGAACGATAGCGTGTGAGCCAAAGTCAAAGTTCAGTGTACTTTGTTTCAAGTATGGTGGATCAGTTTACTTTGGATTACGCAGTCCACGAGATTTTTCCGACACAAACAGTTAACGTATTTTATCAATTAGGGTTTTCTCGCTAAAAATCTTAGTGTCATCTCTAACTTTACTTTACTTTATTTTATATTGTATGATATTAATTTATTAGTTGCTAAAATAGAGAAAATTAGAAAAACACAAGATCTGTTTTTAAATAATCAAAACTTTCTAAATATTCCGCTGCGTACGACGCACAAACTGGCATTTATCATGTTGAGCTGGACTAGTTATAAACTCTTTCTTCATAGTGAATTTCTTGGCCGAGCCAAGTCCTGAAACTTTTTGATTTACCATTGGGGTAGGTTTTTATTCGTATGAGGTATGAAAATCTCTAACTCATTTATTTTACTGCACATATTAATCGTTTATTTATGCTATGCGATTGATATATGCTTGACTGTTTATTAGGGATGGCAATTCGTGTTCGTATCGTGTCGATATAAATGTATTATAGTAAATAGGTAAACCCAAACCCAACTCATTTAATAATTGTGTAAAAAATTCTTAATATTAACCCAACCTGTTTAATGACTTGTTTATCAAAATGAGACATTTAATATTTAATCAAATACTAAATAATAGGAAAAATTATCATAATTAACCCAAATATTTAAAATAAAAAGAAAAATCATAAGACATAGACAAGGTTTATGTTGAAATGACTTAACTATTTATAATAATTGAGTTTAAATAGGTAACATATTACATAGGTCATATTCACGATTATAATATGTTGAGTTAAATGGATCATAAACGGGTTACGCGGTTTGAACCCCTCAACCCTAACCCGATACGGTTAAGTAAATGAGTTAATCGTGTCGACCCTTTTATGACCCAAATCCGTTTATGGCAAATCCAAACTCTTTTAACTCGTGTCGTATTGTAGTGTCGTAATTTGTCAGCCCTACTGTTTATCATTAAATCATCTCACATATGAGCTTGAATATTTAAAAGTAATTAATCAAATATAACCTATTTTTAGATAAGTGGCAAAATCAATTAGGGGCAGATTGATAGTTTATTTGTTTGTTTATCAAATTTATTTTAAAAGTCGGGTGCTTTGAATCAATCATTGAATAAGTATAATAAATTCACCAATCACATTTAAATTAATATATGTGTGATATATTATCTTTCGTATTCAAAAATAAAAAATAAAAAAATTACTTTTAAACATTCAAGCACAAATTTTTAAATCTGATTTTATTTGTTTGCTTATTAAATCAAATAAAAAAGTAATTAGGAGTAGATTGATCGTTTATTTGTTTGCTTATTAAATCAAATTTGTTTGTTTATTTATTTAAATCTGATTTTATTTATTTAAGAGTCATGTGTTTTAAATCAATCATGAAATACAAAACATGCTAGATTCACCAATCACATTTGAATTAACATATTTGTGATAAAAGAATTGTGTGAAGTTATGTAAAAGTCAGAATAAGCCAAAAAGTGAGAATCAACCTATTCAACCCCCTCTCGGTTATATATATATCAAGATCATGTTCGATACGTTATTGATTGTGACCGGTTACAATCTTAATTGAGATCTATTCAGGATTCTTTGTGAAACCCGTGATGGAATGGGGATGCAACTTTTGATCCTTTATCGTGTGGAGGAGGTGGAGGAGCAGTTTTTCGAGATTCCTCGGTTTCAATAAAGTGGCGGTGGTTGGGCAATTTCAAGCTCAGTCCAATTGTTGCTGAGGTGGTGTGCTTGAGGAATGCAGTAAACTGGGCATTGAAGACAAATAAGGTGATGGTGTGGTCTGAAGGTGATTCATTGGTGGTCTGTGATGCGATTGGAAATGAGAAGCAATGTCCCGTGATCATCCAGGCCATTGTTTTTTATATCAAGGCAGGGCTCAGGAGATTTTTCTCATTCGTGTGTTAGTCATATTCGTAAGCATGGCAACGAGGTCGCCAAAACAATGAAAAAATTCTCCAAAAGCCATGTGTGTGATGATGTTGAGCTTGTGCACGTTCCAAATCACATTTTATCGCTCGCTTTGAGGGACGTTCTTGAATGACAGTGTGTGTTTTGTTAGTTTGTTTGCCAAAAATAAAAATAAAAATAACCTAATACTAATGACAGACCTTTGCACCAGGCTGCGTTCTGTGTCATTTATACTTTGCTTCTGTGGTAGTTACGTAACTTCCCTTCTGAATTTGACTATTCGTGCATCACAATTATTGCTATAATTTACGCAATTACTTTCCAATGATAATCATATGGTACAAACACACTAATTACTAATTTATTCTAAAACAGCGTGAACTTTCAATTTCTTTTTGAACTCCCGAACCCTCCTTTCTGGAGGCGAGTTTGTACCAGCGGAGCGGGGATTATTGTCCATTCGATCATTTTTATTTTCTTATAAATCCATAAAATTATAATTTTACGAGAAGCTCTCTAAATAAAACTTGCAAATTTCCCCTCTACGTCTAATTTATGTTAAAACACCAATCCAGAATATTTTCATGACAACCATTATACCGTTTTCTAAATCTTTTATGTTTTAAAATTTATTATTCAAAATCTGAGGCCACTTTCATAATTTCATATTCATTGGGTTATTTGCCAAGTTTTGAAAAGTTGAGTAGTTTATGAAAGTGTCAAAGTTCTGGGGATAATACATGTGTAGGCAATATTCTAAACAATATTATCAAAAGTTCTTTCCACATATATATACAGACAACTTGAGCACGTATTTGATTCATGTATATGTGTCTATATATATATATATATATATATGTTTTCCACTGGGAAATTACACATGCACCCACTGGCCCCTACTACTAGGCTTCCTACGTTCTATGTATTTTCCTCAAGTAACAGGATAGTCATAATAAATACAAACGAATTTCTGACTTCAAAGTTGGGAGTATTAACTAGGGGTATAAACGTATTTTTCTACACACAGACTTTTTTATTTATTTTGGAGCCAAATCCACTAACCTGGTGAGCCGCCATTCCAGACATCCATTGACCTTATCCTCTGATAGAACTATTCTCTGTTCGCCTTCTATTCCACTGTCCGTAGTTTGACATTAATTATCACCTTGTGCTAAAACCATTGTTGGAGAGCTTCAAAGAAAATAGCCCATCCTCGTTACATTGCGAAGCAACGAAGACAAGAAGAAAACCCTAAAACACCAACATAGCAGCAGCTACTCTCCACAAGAAAACAACGTTAACCCCCCTCCACGCCTACCGCAAGGTTAGATCTCTCTTCTCAGTCTACATTCATTTTGAAATTTCGTAACATTTGTTAGTGTCATGGTTTAATAATGCAAGTGGTAGCTAGGTTCCAGTTGGTCAAACTGATCAAGGATCTGTACCATTATTTGCAGTTGAATTTCAAGGCTTCTGCTAATTAAGACCACAATTGGGGAGCTTAAACCAGTTTGTGCAAAAAAAATTTAGCGAGGGATGACAGAAACCGATATGGGTTTTCTGTTAGAGAACATGTTGCAGCTGATAAACTCTGACAATGAATTGATTCTCAAGGCTTATGAGGAGAGAGTGGTGGATAAGGAACACATCAAATTGCTTTATGTGGATATGCAATTCCTACTAAAGTTTCTGAAAGATTCAGAGGGAAAACGAGATGAGCATAAAAAGTTGAAGAGCCTCGTGGCAAAGATTAGAGAAGTCAGTTGCAGGGCAGAAGATATTTTGGATTGGTTCGTACTCAATGTTGTGTTGCAGAGAGATGGAAACATTACTGATGATTTTCCTCTCTACTTCAGTTCTTCCAAAAGTATTGTCCACCTGGTTCGAAAAATTTCTGACTGCCTTAAACCATTGATGACCGATATTGCTTCTATGAAGAAATGCAAGAGAGAGATGATGGATATTCTCTCAAGGTTTGAGTCTCACATGGCTGGCGAAATTCATCCATATCTCTATGAAGATGTAGTTGAAGATATCAAGTTTATGATATCTATCATCAAAGAGGCGGTCGAGATTCATGAGAAGGGCTCTAGTCTCAGATGGTTTGAGTTGTCTCCCGAAGTTAATTGCCTTAATGGTTTGTACCATAAGGTGCGTTTCGAGGCTGAGATGCTTTACCGATCTGAGATAATTCACAATTGCTCTGACCATGCCAGAGAATATTTCAATCCTAAGGAGGCACAAGTAATGGATTGTTGGAAGGGATTGAGGCTCACGATTTTTTTATCCAGAGACTATTATCTCCTCTTCAGAAGGCTCGAAGAGATGGTCGACATGGCAAAAAAAATTTGTCATGCGTTACCCGGTGTCACAAAAGAGATCAAGCTCATCAAGACTAAGGTGACAAAGATCTATGAGAGGGGGTCGAGTGACACATGGCTTAATTCTCTCGTGACTCACGAATTCAGTTACTTCCTTAGTTTGTCTGAAGAGATGCTTGACCTTGGTGAGAAAAATTTTCGTAGCTTTGATGGTGTCATAGAAGAGATTAAGCCCATCATGATAGAGGTCATGAATATTAACCAGAAGGGATTGAGGCTGTCGTGGCTTGAGTCTCTTGTAGCTGATCAATTCCGTCAAGGGTTTGGTATTATCACAAAAGAGATTGAATCCACTAAGAGAGAGGTGATGCTGATTTATAAGAAGATGCATGGCATTGGCGTTTCGAAAATTAGAAAGTCTTCCCATGGAGCTTTGTCAAAACCCACTAGCTCCATCGTCAACGAAGATATCGTAGTGGGCTTTGATGATGAAACAACAATGGTAATAGAACTGCTTACTGGAGAATATGCAAAGACTCTCAAAGTTATAGCGATTATTGGGATGCCTGGACTTGGTAAGACAACTTTGGCAATGAAAGTGTACAACGATCCTTTCGTTAAATATCACTTTCATATTCGTGCATGGACCTATGTATCTCAAGTGTACCAGAGGAGAGATTTGGTGATTAACATTTTGAGTTCTGCAGATATCCAGCTTAGAGGCAAATTTGATGGAATGAGCGAAGAAGAGTTAGGCGAAGGACTATACAAAAGTCTGAAAGCTAAGAAATATCTTATTGTCATAGATGATATATGGGAGTTGAAGGCCTGGAATGGTTTGAAAAGATATTTTCCGAATGACAACAACGGAAGCAGAATTATATTTACCAGTCGACAAAGAGCTGTAGCTGTGGCTTTGCATGCTCAACCTCATTGTTTGCGGTTTCTAAATCCAGATGAAAGTTGGGATCTATTGCGTCATAAGACATTTCGAGGAGAAAGTTACCCTCCAGAGTTGGAGGAAATTGGAAAGGAAATTGCCAAAAAATGTCAAGGATTACCACTTGCAATTCTTGTAATAGCTGGAGTTCTTGCAAAGAAAGACAAAGTAAAGTACTGGTGGAGGCAAGTTGCTGAAAGTGTAAGTTCATACATTGTTACTGACCCAGAGCAATGCATGGACACACTGGCATTGAGTTATGATCACTTGCCTTGTCACTTGAAACCATGCTTCCTCTATTTCGGAGCATTCGTTGAAGACTCCGAAATTTCAGTTTGGAAGTTGATTGCATTGTGGATTGCTGAGGGATTTATACCACGAAATCAGCCAAAAAGTTTAGAGGAAGTGGCAGAGGATTTCATGATGGATCTAATTGATAGAAGTTTAGTGATTGTTTCCAAGAAAAATTCTAATGGTGGAATCAAAGCATGTCGTGTCCATGATCTTTTGCGTGATTTATGCTTGAGAAAAGCGAAGGAAGAGAATTTTCTAAGCATATTTCGAGGTATGGACCCAAATGCATTTTTCAATGCAAAAATGTCACGTCGCATTTGCATCAATCCTCATTTTCAATATTTAGCTTCTCATGCTCACCATAAAGTTGATATATCTGTTCATTCAAATCATGCTACTGAGATCCGCTCTTTCTCCTCAACTTTGAAGTTATCCGAGTCTTTTGTGTCATCATTTTGTGGAGTCTTCAAACTTCTTAGAGTGTTGAACATATCATTCATCAAAATATCCTCCTTGCCTGAGGAACTACAACTGCTAGTTCACTTGAGATATTTATCATTTTATGTTGAGGAGCAATATTTTCAACCATTGATATCCAACCTCTGCAAGCTAGAAACATTTATTGTTGAAGGAGGACCAACAGGTTGGTTATCTTTTTCATATGATATATGGAAGATGGTGAAATTGAGGCATCTGTATACGAAGCGGTTTATTGAAATCCCTTACGTATTCAATGATGACCATCAGTTTGTATTGGATGACCTACAAACCATAAGTAAATTAGATCTTTGTGGTCTTGGTGAACAAGCCTTGCGATGGATTCCAAATCTCAAAAAACTAACATGTTCTTTTATGGAGTCATTGGGTGGGGATAATATTTTTCCTAAACTGAATTTTCTAATACACCTTGAAACTTTGAATGTAAGTTACGGTGGATTCAGAGGACATCTTGGAAAATTTCCCCATCTGAATGAGTTTCCCCCAAATCTCAAAAGCTTAACTTTGTCGAATTTTCGTCTACCTTGGGAGGAAATGTCAACCCTTGGAAGTTTACCTAATCTCGAGGTTCTTAAATTATCAAATAAGGCCTTCGAGGGACCACGGTGGGAAACAAGTGATGGGCAGTTTCGTAAACTCAAATTCTTAAAGTTTCAACGCCTGGATATTAAGCAATGGAATGCTTGTAGTAACCACTTTCCCAGCCTCCAAATATTGGTGTGGGATGACTGTAAACAATTTGAGGAAATCCCATATGGTTTAGGTGAGATTTTTACGCTGGAGATGATTCGGCTATGGTATTGTAGCAGCTCTGCAGCATGTTCCGTTAGGCAAATCCAGAAACAGCAACGAAGCATGGGATATGATGGACTTAAGATCCTTATCCACCCTGGAAATAATTTCGACAACAATGAGGATGATGAAGATGACAGCAGTTGACGCTGATGAGGATGATAAAGGATACAATCTGTCAATTATTATTATTCTGTAATACTAATAAACCACTTTTGAAGACCCATAGCATTGTAGGTCTCCATTCATTTTCTTCCCTTTTGTAGTGTATGTCAATATTGTCAATTGGTCATGAATCCCTTCTGTGTTAGTTTGACACCACGAATTGCATAAATTATAGCCGAATAGAATCCCAGTACTCCGCAAGAATTTATGACAATAGATTGACAACGACAGCTCAAAAAAGGATTGACAAGGATTGTTATGATGTCTTTAATTGTGTCCTTAAAACATACTAGAGGACGGTGCTTGATTCATACTAGAGGGAGACGTACTATGACAAAATAATCAGAAAATTATTGGCAAAATATAATGGTTACTTGAAACAAAAGTACCTTGAATCTTGTTATGGCACACGCCGGTTTACTTCTCTTTTTGCAATCCTCAAACTAGTATGACTTCCCCTTGCACAAATTATAAGGGTTGTTAGTCATTTACATCCTCTGAAAACTGGTACCAACTACAAAAGTATGTAGCAAAGAATATAGAATTTGAGCCTCCTGTCCTGAAATAAGGAAGTTCCCCCCAGGGTCTGGAAATGAGACTGAATTGAATATGAGTATAGCTAATCATACCTTTCGGAGTCGATATCCACTATGGGAAAGGTTCCCCAACAACAAGAAGTCAAAAAACAAAGGGAAAGGCTCTATTTTCCGTTGGACCTTGGTTAGCCGCCCACAGTAAATAAGAATGAACTCCCCTTCAAAATAGCAGAAAGATAAAAACTACTGCGATCACCCAACCGAAAGAAAGGTTTGGCTGATGTAACGAGGGAAACTTGCAGGAGGTTAAACACTTGAACTGCAATGAAATACACCTAAAGCCCAAAGCATTAGGTGATTTGCTAGAACCCTTGATGCATGCTTCCACCCTTAAGGCAATACACATATAAAATTTAAACACTTTTCCAAATTTTCTAAGAATTACTAGTAGAAAACTGTACTAATTAACCACTGATCATACCTGAGGGCTATATGGATCAGAGAGTTATTTTTCAGCTGTAAAGCAAAAATCTAGTTTCAGATAATGGCTTAAAAGGGCATGCTTGTGAATTGATTTCCTAAGGAAATGAAATTCAACATGGGTGTTGAATACAAACAAGCATGTAAATTGATTTTCAAAACCACAGGAAGCTTAAGAGTGACAGTTAGCCTACATTCAATCTTGTAAATGGAAAGATTTTCACAGGGACCGAAAAAAAAAAAAAAAAAAAAAAAAACCTTAAATAAAAATCATCAATCTGACCTCATAAAGCTCATTCAATGAAAATAGACAGCAATGCAAACAAAAAGAAATACATCAGTTTTATGACTTCATACCTGAGGATCTACATTGTTTCCTTTTTTTAGAAAAGGAATAAGTAGAGAAAAAATAAATAGAATCAAGGGAGTAAAAATGGAACACTTCAATGACTTTCTATGCAAAGAGAAAAAAATGCCCAAAACCCCAATTTAAAAAATGTGAGAGAAAAAATTGTAGAAAATAGAGACAATATTCAATCATGTAACGATATTACCTGTTTGGGTGGTAGTTGCATTAAGCCTTTTTCTTTACCTTGATGCAGAATCAACTCAAAAATCTAGAGAGCTATGTGTAATTATGTGTATATATTTTGCCAATGTGCTAAGGGTATTTCGAAAGTAAACCAAGAGAACTTAAGGGTACAAGGTCCTTCTAAAATCCATATGCATAAAGGATCCAGAACAACTAGGATAACATATAAATATAAATAAAATAAAATAAAATAACCATCCTTCTTTTGTAATAGAATCCATGCAGAAAATCGCTTCGGCACATGTAGCTTCCTTCTTTCCCTCCTGGTGCCATCAAAGAGCTTAGGAGTTTGACTGTTTGAAAAGTACAATTGTTAACCAGTAATGCCAATTAATCTAGTTTGACTGTTTGAAAAGTACAATTGTTAACAAGTTTCAAAAGTACCACTATGTACACAAATTTGTGTTCTTTGTGTGTGGTGTGTTTACTTTCCAGTCAATTTCTTGATTGTTATTGGATCGCAGTATTTGATACAACATGGTATTTGTGAATTACTATAACTGAAGTCCAATTATGAAGGGGTCCCCATTAATGAAATTTGACCAAATTCTTCTGTATTAATATTTTAAAGTTGGAAAATTTATATAGTGTGATAATGTGAGATGATTATAATTTTTTGGATATCTCGCAATAATTTCAAGATGTGTAGCAGCATTACTCTTAATGGAAATACTTTGTCCTAAATATATTGTGAAACATATATTTACTTTAACTCAGTGACCAATTAGAATTGATTGTAAGCATAGGTGACAGGCTGACAGCATTACCATGTGAGAGTAGAATAAATAATCAACCCAGTAGATATATCTGCAATTATGAAAATGTTGACGCTAAAATTGGCTAACTGGAGCCAATCTCAAATTGATGTAAACCGGAAGTGCCAGAACCAAATATATGGTTCAAATGTAAATTGTCAACTATAGTCCCTTTGAGAAAGTTGACTTTCAGGTGATTGCAAGGAAAAAAGGGAACAATAAAAACTCCTCTTTGAGTTCAGAATTGGACTTTATTAGTGAAAAATTATAGTAAAAGATTGAGAGAATAGAATGGGAGAAAATATAGATATGAAAAGTGATAGGGAGAAGAGATAGAGAGACAGAGATATAGGGAGAGAAATAGAACGAGACTGAAATAGAGAGGGAGAGAGAGAAAGATAGCAAGGATGCTATTTGGGGAAAGTGCGTGAGAAAGCAACAATAATAATAAAATAATTCTGAGGGTGCTGGACCTCTAGTACAGCATGCCTCTTTGTTTATTTATAGAGAAAATAGTAAAACTAATTCCTAAATACCAGCATTCTAGTTGTATTATAATACAACTAAATCAAACTAATCCTAACTGAATACTAATTCTCAACTAAATTTAAATACAGGATAAATTTATAACTCTTATCTAATGCATTTAAAGTTCAAAAATCTGCTATCCGATTTGCAGTACCCTTGCATGTAGCTTTGTGTTTGTATAAAATCTGCCATGTCACCCAAACCAAATCCTATCTACTGATCTTTCAAACATAATTCATGTAAAACCCAATCTTCCTTTTAACTGTATCAAGACTCTTCCAAACGAAGCCCAAGTTAATTGTTCAGTCCAAGTAGGCTAAAATATTTCACAGCCCAAACTCATTACTGCATGTCTTCAGCCTAATACCCTCTCGGCCTAAACTTTCACACATCATCATTCATCAGGCTTTATGTTCTCGGCCCATATCACTATGTCACTGTTCATCAAGCCCAATTGGAGCCCAAATCCAATTACCAAAATGGGTGTCAACAATGCCCCCCAATTTTGGTAGCCGTTTTAACCCTTCGGCTTCCAAAATTTGAATACATCCATTTTATTTGAACATTGTATATATCATATAACCCCTTGAGTTATATCAGGAGTGGATTTCCCAAAAAATGCCGATCACACTAAACAATCTTATCAACCATTAATTGCGTTGTAACAATCCTTTCGTTTTCCACTAAAACACGCCTCTTCTCTCACTTGCACCACATTCTGTAAACACAATTCTCTCTTTCCCTAAAGTTCTTCTCCACCTGAAACTCTTCTGCAACTAAAACTTTTGTTCTTGTGACCATGGCTCTAAAATCACAAAAACAAATTGATTTGACTTTAGAAACTCCCTTTCCCGAAGCAACAACGCATACCCAAATAACGAAATCTGTAATCAAAACCCTAGTCCAAACCGAACTGGACACCACCACTTTGATCAATATCACAGAAAAAGCTAAAGGACTTGGCCCAGCATTCCTTAATCGATTCCCTCCTTTATTATCTCTGATTTACCCACAAGCCGAACAACACCTTCCTTTCTCAAAACCTCTTTATCTAACAGCGGAAGGAGATAGACCAACCCTCTCCGTCAGAAATTGGCATGCACCAATACCCAATGGAACGATTGGGTGGATCGTGTATCAGTAGCGAAAAGGGAGCAAGGGAAAAGGATGGGTATCTTTGACATCATCCAACTTAGTAAGATCCCTCTTACCTTTGACCGAGCGTTGTTCTTTGCTTCTCTGCACTTTTGGTCTCCCAAAACCAATTCACTACACTTGCACTGTGGCATGATGTCCCCCACATTGAGGGATGTCTGCTTTCTAACGGGTTTGAAACCTAGAGGAGATGAAATCAATTATCTCCTCCAAGATGAAGAAACCTCCTTTAATTTTCCAGAGCAAAAAGGGTCTAAACCCTTCGTACAATCACATGGTCCCTTTTTAAAGGAAATGTTTGGGGAAGACGGGACTGAGGTAGATGAACAGGAACACATAGGTTTTTTATTATTGTAGTTGTGTAGATATTTGTTGTGTGCCCCGGCTATTCAGATCACCAAAGACCTCACCCAATTGGCCATCACATTATCCAAAGGAAAACCCATGGCCTTAACTCTATTCCTTTTAGCTTCCTTGTATAGAGGTTTATCCGATCTTATTACCTCCAATTTCTCAAGATCTGGAGGCCCTCTTTGACTTTATCAATTCTGGCTGCATGCGTACTTCCCTGAGTTAGCTCCCCCCATTCGGCTTGCTACTAGTGATCCCTTACTGTCATTTGGGTATGCCAAAGCAAAGCCCAAAGATCACTCATTTAATGATTGTTTTTAGTTCTTCTATCACTAATGTAAGATCAGAACTCAATCCCAATTTCTTCCCTTTTCAAAATGCCGGCTAACTCCTTCTTGGTTACTCCCTCCTACTACTGAGTCCTCGGCAGAACAAATTGAACTTCACAACACATCTTGGGGCCATTTCCTGGTTGCCAGGGACATTCCCTGCAACACAGTTGCTCCTTATCTTGCCAAGAGCCGAACTGGGGTTGAATTTTACAACCCAGCCCAATTAGCCCGACAATTTGGATTGACCCAAATGATTCCAGTACCTCCCCACTTTTCCTATAACAAGAACTATCATCGACGAGTGAAGCTTTCAAACAGTGAACAAGTTCAGAATGTATCTAATCGATTTACTCAGCTCCTTCAAGGGTTTCAGTATAAATCCTTCCTTAAAGAACCGCGTACTGATCCAAGCTTCAAGAATTGGTGGGCATCCTATATCACTTTTACCAAGACCGTAGATTCCAGTTAACTTGTGTGCAATCTTCTTGGATCCTACAAATTCATTTCCCTTAATTTTCAAAGTGTGGATTCCATTGAACCCATTGTCCTTTCTATCGCTCCTGAACTAGAGAATTCAACAAATGTGACACCAACTCGTCCTCCTCCCACAGCTCCTGCAGGTAGGACCAGATCTCGCTCTCGGCAGAGTAAGTTTTATATCTTCGTCCTTTCCATATAAACTTTTATTTTGTTTATATGCTTACTAATCATAAATCCAGGCACACATTCCAATGCATTAGATAAATCCATACCCACCAAGTTTGAGGAAACCCAAGTTGATTTTTATGTCCCTCTCCAAAGTATACCCCCATCTTCGATTACTCAAGTAACACCCATAATCAAACCATATATTTACTCTTTTGATGCATGCCACTTTTCTTGCTAATACTTCTTTTCCAGAAGACAAGAAGAGGAAAACTGTAGGAAAGAAACCTACTAAAAAGTCAAGAGCCAAGAGACACTTTGAATTGATCGATGATGATGAAGTGGATGAGGATGAAGTTATATCTAAGAAAAAGAAACCTGCTGCTGAATCTCCCAATGTAATTTCTTTTTGCCTGATTTCATATATTACCTCTTTATTCCTATAATATAACTAAATCGGCATTATTTTCAGAAAGCTCCACTCTCTTCAGACCAAAAATCAATCCAAGAAATTTCTACAGACCATGTTGAAGAAGAAAAGATTGAGTTATCAGTGGGGCAGAAACAAAGGTCCCTGGTGTCTTCTCCACACCTGGCTGCAACTTCAATTAATGAGCAAATTGGAGATTCTGATGAAGTGACTTTTGATTTTTATAACCTGTTCTTGTAAACTTGTAACAACTGTGATTAACCCAAAATATTTCAAGTACAAAAAGACTCGGCTACTCCATCCATTCCTGCCAGCGTCAACCCAAGTTCTCCATTTGCAGCCCTTGACTCTTTATTTGATTCGGTGTTTAACTCTCTTGATCCCGAACCTCCTGCAATTCCGAGCAAGAATACCACTGCAGCTCCATTGGAAGTGGTTAAGGCTGTGCAGATATTACTCCAAATGTTTCAACAGGACTTGTCCTTAATCCCTTCCTTCAAGGAAGAACTTACTGAAACCCTTTCCTTCCTGAGTAGCTATCTAGGATTTCCTTTGAAAGATCAATCCTTTTTCAAGAATGTTCAACTTCAAGTTCCATCCATGATTACTGCCTATACTGAATCAACTCAAACCATTAACCAGTACACTGCTCAAATCCAAGAAAAAGAATTGCTTTCCCAAGCTTTGAAGGATGGAAGGGAATTGCATCTGTCCTTGAAAAGAGAAGCTGCCGAACTAGATGCCAGAGAGAAGAAGCTTCAGGCACAATTAGCTCAGCTTCAATAAGACAAATCCCAACTCGGCAATAAAGTGGCAGAACTGAAAAAACAAGCAGAAGGTGTTGCCCCCAGGTTTAAAGTACTACAGGCTCAGACGCCAAGGTTGGAACAATCCAGAAAACAAGCAGAAATGAAGCTTACCGGCACCAAGGCCTCATGGGCAGATATGAAGGCCAAATTTGAATATTTTCACCAAAGTTTTAAGCAACCTTGAATACTTGTGGTTTTATGAACAATTTGACATTTTGGGTATGTAATATGGGTTTTGAACCATTTGCTATAACTGCTTTCGGAACTTTATTTTGATACATCTTTATT